TATTCATTTTTATAACTTATACATTTAAACTCTTATGTCATCAGAGGAAGTGAATAAAAGAAAATTATAAAATTACAAATAGAAGATAAATATAATATTAAAAAAATAACAAAACAGAATAAGAAATAGAAATAAATATATTCATATATCCATAGTAAGTAAATGTGTATAAAAGATGCCAGTCTAAGATTGATATTAACAAGCTCTTCCACATGATCCAGTGCTCCCTTTCTATGAGGTATTGTCAAAGACTTTTATGCACAGGATAAGGAGTCTACATCTTTATAATTATGAATTCCCTTCTCTTTGCTGCTTTAAACATCTCATGAAGCTCAGAGTTCTGATGTGATCATTCTTGTAAACAGTATGTATCATTAGCTTTTTTATATTTTTCTTCTATTTATAATTTTATTTTATTTACTTCCTCTGATGGAATAAGAGCTTAAATGTAATTCAAAATTTTATTAAAATTTATAGATTGATTTAAATGTTCAGTTTGTGAACCTGAAGGAAGAATGCCTATGAATGAGGCTGAAAATATTAGTTTCAGTAAAAAGTGTTGCTGGAAAGAAAAAAGATATATATTTGTTTATACTAGGTATAAATTTTTGTTTTATCTATCTGGTTAGAGTATTCACTGATATCATGTTCAAAATGTTTAGTTAAAATGCTTTATAAAGTACAGTGAGTTTCAGAACATATTCATTTTCATCTATTGCTGTTAATCACTCAAAACTATAATGTGGCAAATCACATTTAGGAAAATTGCTATATTAACCAAGTAGAAATAATGTGGGCCAAGATTAAACCTGTTTGATCTACTAGCTATCAATGAACAATCTTGTTTTATATTATAATTTTTACATAATCAATAAAGAAAATCCAATGATGTTTAATAAATTTATGCTGATTTAAAATATTATTATAATAAATTGCAAAATTTAAACTTAAATGTAATTAATAATATTGGTAAATAAATTATTGTTGCTATAATTTAAGGTAATTCTGAAGTAGTTAATGAACACTTAACTTTTTTTACATGGAAGATACGTTCCTCAAAACATTGTGTAAAACAACTGTGCAAAAAAAAAAAAAAAAAATACATTTCCTGTAGTAAACTGGGAGATATGTTCCAAGTCATTAAAATAAGATGAAATAACTATATTTTATTTGAAAAACTATGTAAAAAAGTGATGAGCATTTTCTTCAGTGTTGAGTATCTGTTCAGGAACATATTCCTCTCTTATTATTTTGGCTAGTTTTTATGGAAAGCTCTTGGCAGCATTTTCATCAGCAGATGCAATTTCTCCTTTAATTTTAATATTGTGAAATGCATTTCTTTTTAAAAATCCTGTCAGTCATCTTTCACTAGCAGAAAATTTCTTTCTTTTGTCTTGATTTACTTGAACACTTGTTGATGGTTCCAATTCCTGTAGTTTTTCATAAATTTGTACTGCTTTCTGCTTTATAATATTTCCATCCACAGGTACCCTCTTTTGCACCAAATCCTCAATCCAAAGTACCAAAAAAATTTTCATTTTTTCTAAGACAGCATCTGTACTGTACAATGATGTTTTTGAGCTAAGTTTTGATCTGCAGATGATAGATTTTCATATACAATTCTCAATACTTTGAATTGTTCTGACAGTTGTTTCATTCAAGCCAAAACTTTAGCCCACAGATGTTGAACCTTCACCACTCACTAGCCAGTCCAAGATTTTTATTTTTGTTTCTAACAAAATGACTTTTCTTTTCCTTTCCTTTGTAGTTTTAAACATTTTGAACTTGTAATCTACCATAAAAATTCTAATTAAAATGTTTTAATTAGACTTGTAAAAACTTATAAATTAGACATACTGCAAACTTGTAAAAAAATCATATCTATCTTTTTATTCTTTAATACATCTAATAGCATGATCTATGCATTTCACTCTGACAAGAATGTTATGAGCTAATGAAACTTCTGAAATGAACTGATTGAATGATGCAATACTTGAAAACTTACATAAATTAATAAATTAATTTTCATTTACTCTCTTTCTTTCTTTTTGTTTCATTTGCTCACATTGACAATAATTTTTTATTTTATTAAATTTTTAAATCCTGTCAGTTTTTTCATCAACCATGTTATTTCAGAATCATGTAAAAAAAAAAAAGAGTTAGATGTATTATATTTATAAATGAAAGCTTGTCTAATAAATAAGAATTCAAATAAAAATTTTATTTTATGGATTAATGGAGAATATGAATACAGTGGGTGATCGGTTAATGAACATAATTCATTCCATGACTTTGTTCGCTATCTGAAATGTTCATTAACTGATTATCGATTAACCATAGGTTTTTATGAGAATTTGATTAATTCATTCTGGAGACCCCAAAAAATAAAAAATATATACTTTTTTACTACATTTNACCTTTCGAGGTATGCGTAACAAATCTGAATGATATTGTGTGTGTGAATAAATCTCAATAGCGCTCAGATAATTAATTAATAATAATTGTAGGACAAAAAGCATAATATCAATTCAACAAGAAAAATAGATATAATATTAATTTTTTAAACCACATGATACAAAAATTAACTGATGTTATACACAGTAGATTTTCTTTCAACAATACACGATAGATGACGTCATATTCATTTGTGTAGGAACAGGAAAATACCACAATGTTGGAGTATAATTGTAACTCGCTATATTGTGTCATTAGAACACTGTTGAAGTTTGTAATACATTAAAGTTTAAGGCAACATTGAATTTATAATTTAAAATTATGTTATATTTAATTATCATGTGTATTTCACATAATAACGTTGAACATAGTATCAAGTATCAAATTGTATGTGACCCCAATTGTATCGTTAAAATGCCTAAAACTTTATAAAAATACTTTATCTAAAAGTACGTATCATATCATAATTTGTTTTAAATTACTTAAATGTGTTCTCTTAATAAGTATTCCCTTCAACATACAGTATATTTTTTACTAACATTAAGTAATACGTGATGTCCTTATAACAGACCTTATGTCCGAAAAGAGGGAGTGAATTAATGTCTCTCCCGATATGCATTTTGAGATATTATAAAGTTATAAAAGTTATTTTTTATTAATAAAATAATTACTAATACACTACTATTTAAAAACCTAAACATTAATGTATGACAAGTCTTTAATATTTAGAGCAGAAAGGCTTAAAAAAATGATTATTTATAAAGTCTACAGTAGCTCACATAACACGCATTCTATGAATCATAGTGGCTCACTAAAAGCGATGCGATTTCATGTCTGAAACAAAAGTACTTTCAACGGAGCCTGATTATTTGCTTTTTAAAAATTAGTTAATTTGCCTTAATATTTATCTTATTCATTATTATAACAACTTTGTTTAATACAAAATCTTATGTAGCTGTAGTCTGTGTAATGGGCACTTTACTTTCGTGTTGAGCCTTACTGTAAATCGGATATAACTATTCTTATGCCACAACTTTCAGTAGATTTTTTTACTTAAATGTTTTTGCTTAGCTATAATTTTCAACTTCGTTTCAGCAATAAATACAGTCGACCCATTTATAACACGAATTCCTATAGTTCGAATTTCTATATCACGGCAAAAAAATTGCGACAGTATTCGTACAAACATGCTAAAAAATTCCTATAATTCGGTAAAACGTAATCGCCGACTCGTGTCTCGACAGGATTGCACAAACTGTTGAGTTTAAACGAGCAGCGGACCTACTATTATTTAACGTCCATAAAAATTATATTTATATTAATGATGTCTNTATTATCATAAATTTTTAATACTTTTTCATTAACAATGAGCATTTCTTGTACAGTAAAATATAGTTAATATTAATAATAATATAATAATGGTAATTTATAGTATTATTTGTATTAACAAAAAATGTGTTCCATTGGACTTCAATAAGCACTATGCCCCGAAAAACTTAGATATGCCCCTGACTACATCAGTTGAAAAAACAATCATTTGTCAACTTGATCTAAAGAAAGTGATTGACCAATTTGCAAACGAAAAACGAGAAAACAATTTTGAAGTTTTTTAATGTATTGTGTATTTCTTATAAAACTAAACTTGCTTACATTTTGTCAATATAGTTTATATAACATGTAGTAAATATTATTAGGTACTCTGTACTTAAACAATTATATTTTGTTTTATTATTATATTTATACTAGCAGATGAGCCCAACATTGCTTGGGCGAAAAGTAACGATAGCAAAGATTAAGATTATAGATTATAGGTGATCTTATTCATTTTTACTGGGTGCAAGAATTAGATCCCTCTCTTCCGAGACTAATTAGAGAATTTTTGGATGGGTCTAAAAATATTCTCGATTTCTCGCAAAAATGCAAAATACCGCATCTAAAATAGTACAGTAGAAGCTAAGTTCTTCGTGGTAATCCTTAACCATCTTCCTCTCCACCCAGGTGAAATTTCAAAAAATCCTTTTTTAGTGTGCATTGGCATGGCATATCCTAACTACGTACCAAATTTCAGCTTTCGACTCCTAACTGTTTGGGCTCTGCGCTTATTATTATTATTATCATCAACCCATCTTGATTATATTATAAGATTTATTAAATTAAATATCTTATTGTTGAAATGCCTTGAATCTCAAATAAATTGTTATTAAGTAAGGTTTTAAATCGAAATAATTAGTTATGTTTTTAAATAAAATGTTCAAAATAAATTTTGTGAGACCTCTTCCGAGGAACAAGTGGCAAACCAATTTGACTTGCTCCAGGGCTCTGAATATGTAGCTACGCCACTGATTTTTGTCAACTTGAATTTTTTATTCTCAGTAACATAAGGCTTGGTAGAGGCCAGTGGTTGAGTAAGCAAATGAACAAATAATAAAAAGCATATAATACCATTCCTAAGTTTAGGAAAAATAAATTATGAAAATTATTATAGCATTTAACAGTAATTTGAATTAATGAGATACATAACAGTAATTTTTGATTTTTTTTTCCAGATATATATAGTAGATTTATTAAAGATCGTTATCAAAACACTCTTCGAGAAATTGGACTAAATTAGATGAGACTGAATTAGATTTCAGGTATAAAACTTTTCATTAGTCTATTATTTTAAAATTATAAAAAAAAAAAAAACTGTATTTTATGGCATGCAAGACAAATTTTATTCAAAGAAGGGACTCAAAAAATCATCCTGCACCTTATATGTGAAATTGCAATCTTCTATTCTCAAATGAATACTTCTGTACTGAATAATTTCTCCTAAATATTTCATGCTAAAATGAGAAGGCATCTTATATGCTGTAAAATACAGTAATCAAATTATGTTATTAAAGAGCTTTTCTAATAATAAATTATTATTAAAAGGAAAATATAAATACACATTACAAATTTTTTTGAAGCATTGCATTATATGTTTCTTAACATTGAGTACAAGTTTATTGAATATAAGTTTTGATACAAAATTGGAAATTTTTTAAAACTTAATATTTATTATTGATCTAAAAGATTATGCAATAGTTGTATCATTTTGAATCCAGTATTAATTTAAAATTTATACTTTAATTATTACACTTTTAACATATCTGATTTCATAACTGAAGTGTATTAAGTGCTATTTGTATTATTATAAATAGATGTATTATGATATAATAAGACAATATGAAAAGATAACAGAGGAATCTAAATTTTGAAAACATTTTTTACACCTTATATTCATTTTCTGGAAGCTTTATGTATTTTACTGGATATAATATGACAGAAAATGAGTTCATTTTTATTGTCTTGTATAATTTATTTTTCATTCTTATTTATTAATTATATATTATAGCATGGTCTACATTAGGATGAAATTCTGAAATCTTCCAATCTAAAATGCCAATTCACCTGAGGAAAAGAGCATTCAATCAATGCGTACTACCAGTTATGACTTACGGATGTGAAACTTTGACACTAAAGAAAGAAATAACAGCAAAACTCCAAATTGCCTAAAGGTCAATGGAGCAATGCATGCTTGGAATAACCAAGAGAGATCACAAAAGAATAGAGTGTATTAGGCAAAGAACTCAAGTAACTGATGTAATCCACAGAATTAATTCTCTCAAATGGCAATGGGCAGGACATCTGGCAAGGAGGACTGACAACAGATGGTTCACAAGAATCGCAATGTGATATCCACGGGGAATCAATAGACTCAAAGAACGTCCATACTTAAGAAGGGATTATGACATAAGGAAACAAGCAGGCAGAACATGGTGGAGAGAAGCAAATGATAGGCAAACATGGGCACAAATGACATAATTATGTAAGGGACGCTACACCATAATGTGAAATGGTAGAATAAGCTGATGATGATGATATAGACAGTATCATCAAGTAACTATCTGGACTCTTCCCTAGAAAAAACAAGCTTCCATAAAATCACAAGAATAACAAACAATAAAATGAAAACAGAATTACAAATACAAACAAGTTACATAACACTTGGTAAAATGAACAAGTTTTTTAAGTAGAAATCTGATTTACATACTCTTTTAAATTTTAAAAATGTTTTTTATTTAATTGACATGTCGTTTATATATTATAATTTTAAATCTTAAATAATATTTATTTCACTATTGTACCCAGAGAGGGGCTAAAGGAGCATGGGCCCCCAAGAAACTCAAAATAATAGGAAAGTTGAAGATAAAAAAAATATATTTAGAAGTTAAAAATTATATTTACATATGTATACAGAATTCTAAAAAATATAAATACAAACAGTGGTAGTTAACTGTATAAGACAATTAATAAAAATATCTTTTTTACTAATTTATAGTTTTATATTTATAATTATATATAAGTTAAGTTCTTTCTAATTGTTATAATATTTATAAATACAAAAGTTAAGATATAACTATTAATATTTTATATTAATTAGTAATGCACAGATTATTCCCTTTAGAGAAACCAAAATTTTTATTAAACATTATAAACGTAACATGGATAAGTAAAGTAATATTTAAATCCATTGTTAATTTACAAATCTTTTTCCCTGCTTCTCCATCCAAGCTATTATTTTGTGATTATATTCTGATTGTTGGTATTCTGTCTTGTTCAATTAACCAAGTTCATAATGATCAAAATTTTTGAATATTAATCAGTGTTAAATAAGCAAATTTAAATCATTTATTAATAATAAATATTTTAATTAGTTACTTTTAAATTCATATCTGTAGTTTAATCAGTAATCCATTTTTGTTAATTTTAATGTGATGAAAATATTCATGCAAATAGCTGTAGAACTTTAGAGGTAGAGTAGCTACAGAATCTTAGAGTATAATTTGTTGTTGATAGAGCCATGCTACTCGTGTAAATAGAGATGTAACATTATGAGTCATATTTTTTTTCATTGATAACAAATTTGTCTTTTATTTCAGAAAATGGGATCGGAACATAGTCATCAGTCTGCAAATAGTTCACAAAGGAATAACTCAAATAATATCCCAGATTCTAATCAAGTCTTAAGAAGTTCTTCTCCTCGACCATCTATTAGTTCAGATTCAGATATACCATATGTTTCGTATACTGTAAATAGACCAATTGGAGGTAGCTCATTATATATAATCTTGAATTGTTTTTTATTCTAAAATATATCATATATTACTTATATAATTACTTTATATTTTGATAAAATAATATTTAATCAATAAATATAATGTCTCACTTCTATATTTTCTGTTTTTATCAACCTTATAAATAATGCATATTATATCGGAGTTGTCAACTTTTTTTGGTTCAGAGACCAAATTGTACTTTTGAGCTTAATGAGTTGTTAGTAAACTAAGTACTGCTGAGTAATGCCATTGAGAACATTGCTAAACTTGTTTTCTTGATGCACTGTGCGCAGTGAGACTGCTGCAAGGATCACCCTCGCAGCAGTCTCAACTGGTTTGAGGTTAAATCTTCAGTGCTTATTTTAGTTGCTTTTCTCATTGCAGCAAAAATGGTTTCCTCCACAGTGGAAAAGTTGAATTATAATATGATGTGACAGGGTTTTAATCACCATGAATTGATATTCTGTTTGTACTCATTTTTCTTTTAAAATACTTATTAGTAAAATAAAATTCAGATTTGACAAAATTTGTATATTTAAAATGTTTTATCATCTACTTTATGTTGAAGAAAAAGCTGCATACACTAAATTTAAATCATTAATTTTACCTCAAAAACAGGTCATTGCAACAGAAAAAAATTACTTTTAAAATGTTTCAAATTAAATAATTCTCAATGTATTTCAATAGCTACACCGAGATCAGGAACTGCATCACTGCTCTATGTACATTGTTAAAAGATCTTCAGTAGCATTTGCATTACTTTCATGGTGAAAGCAGCAGTACTGTTCCACAACACTGAATTTAATAGCAAGCATAATTCATGGGCTATAGAAGTAATTATTTATCAGTATGGAAAATAAAGCATTGAATAAGAAAGATTATAAATATAAAACATTTATAATGCCTGCATTTTGCATAATATATTGATACCTACCCAAATCAGTGACAATTTCTCAATGTCACTAATATACGGTATCATTAGCAACACTTTCAATATTGATAAACTCAGTATAAAACTGATTATAATAGTATAAAAGAACAAATATATTTTTCTTTCCAGCAAAACTTTTTACTAAAACTAACATTTTCAGCCTCATTCATAGGTCTTCCTCATATAGAACATTCCCACAATAAACATTCAAATATAAGTACACTTTAAAATGAATCTACAGATTTTTAAAAATTTCTACTTATATTTAAAGTGTAGATGATTGCTTTGTGCTCTTATTATTTGATTTAAATTTTTTAATGCATCTATGATAGTTGAATTTAAGGACTCATCACATCATTTTTGAAAAAAAAGTTTAAGAGAAAGCAAGAGACCAATGTTTACTCTGCTATTTTTATTTGATTAAAGATGCATTTTGAAGTTTTACATCCACTTTCAGTTTAATCATGTTCATAAAACAACTTTCATTTCTTTTAGGTTTACAGGTTCTTCTGTTACTACAATATATTTTAAAAAAGATATCACAAATTATATTGTTTATTACATAAGGAATAATATTACAAATATTTCACATTTTAATATTTAAGACCATACATTTTATATTACAAAAATTACTTTCAAAGATTCAATACATGCTATCCAACAATATCTAAATAATTGTTACAATTGATATAAATTAAGTTTTCTATCTATAAGTGAAAAGTTTTTACTTATAAACCATAACAATCTATTAAATAACTATAAAGCACACATTCATCAAAAGCATGAGGTATATATTTTTGAAAAATGGTCTGAAACTAGATTCAAGAATTTAAAACCTCTTTCATCCATACATGGTCATTTACATAAAATTACCAAACTACATGTGACTGCTCCCCCTTTCAGCAGTAATGAATCATGCATTTGAAATCCTACATTATCATTTATTCTTTTTCTGTATTCATTTTTATAACTTATACATTTAAACTCTTATGTCATCAGAGGAAGTGAATAAAAGAAAATTATAAAATTACAAATAGAAGATAAATATAATATTAAAAAAATAACAAAACAGAATAAGAAATAGAAATAAATATATTCATATATCCATAGTAAGTAAATGTGTATAAAAGATGCCAGTCTAAGATTGATATTAACAAGCTCTTCCACATGATCCAGTGCTCCCTTTCTATGAGGTATTGTCAAAGACTTTTATGCACAGGATAAGGAGTCTACATCTTTATAATTATGAATTCCCTTCTCTTTGCTGCTTTAAACATCTCATGAAGCTCAGAGTTCTGATGTGATCATTCTTGTAAACAGTATGTATCATTAGCTTTTTTATATTTTTCTTCTATTTATAATTTTATTTTATTTACTTCCTCTGATGGAATAAGAGCTTAAATGTAATTCAAAATTTTATTAAAATTTATAGATTGATTTAAATGTTCAGTTTGTGAACCTGAAGGAAGAATGCCTATGAATGAGGCTGAAAATATTAGTTTCAGTAAAAAGTGTTGCTGGAAAGAAAAAAGATATATATTTGTTTATACTAGGTATAAATTTTTGTTTTATCTATCTGGTTAGAGTATTCACTGATATCATGTTCAAAATGTTTAGTTAAAATGCTTTATAAAGTACAGTGAGTTTCAGAACATATTCATTTTCATCTATTGCTGTTAATCACTCAAAACTATAATGTGGCAAATCACATTTAGGAAAATTGCTATATTAACCAAGTAGAAATAATGTGGGCCAAGATTAAACCTGTTTGATCTACTAGCTATCAATGAACAATCTTGTTTTATATTATAATTTTTACATAATCAATAAAGAAAATCCAATGATGTTTAATAAATTTATGCTGATTTAAAATATTATTATAATAAATTGCAAAATTTAAACTTAAATGTAATTAATAATATTGGTAAATAAATTATTGTTGCTATAATTTAAGGTAATTCTGAAGTAGTTAATGAACACTTAACTTTTTTTACATGGAAGATACGTTCCTCAAAACATTGTGTAAAACAACTGTGCAAAAAAAAAAAAAAAAAATACATTTCCTGTAGTAAACTGGGAGATATGTTCCAAGTCATTAAAATAAGATGAAATAACTATATTTTATTTGAAAAACTATGTAAAAAAGTGATGAGCATTTTCTTCAGTGTTGAGTATCTGTTCAGGAACATATTCCTCTCTTATTATTTTGGCTAGTTTTTATGGAAAGCTCTTGGCAGCATTTTCATCAGCAGATGCAATTTCTCCTTTAATTTTAATATTGTGAAATGCATTTCTTTTTAAAAATCCTGTCAGTCATCTTTCACTAGCAGAAAATTTCTTTCTTTTGTCTTGATTTACTTGAACACTTGTTGATGGTTCCAATTCCTGTAGTTTTTCATAAATTTGTACTGCTTTCTGCTTTATAATATTTCCATCCACAGGTACCCTCTTTTGCACCAAATCCTCAATCCAAAGTACCAAAAAAATTTTCATTTTTTCTAAGACAGCATCTGTACTGTACAATGATGTTTTTGAGCTAAGTTTTGATCTGCAGATGATAGATTTTCATATACAATTCTCAATACTTTGAATTGTTCTGACAGTTGTTTCATTCAAGCCAAAACTTTAGCCCACAGATGTTGAACCTTCACCACTCACTAGCCAGTCCAAGATTTTTATTTTTGTTTCTAACAAAATGACTTTTCTTTTCCTTTCCTTTGTAGTTTTAAACATTTTGAACTTGTAATCTACCATAAAAATTCTAATTAAAATGTTTTAATTAGACTTGTAAAAACTTATAAATTAGACATACTGCAAACTTGTAAAAAAATCATATCTATCTTTTTATTCTTTAATACATCTAATAGCATGATCTATGCATTTCACTCTGACAAGAATGTTATGAGCTAATGAAACTTCTGAAATGAACTGATTGAATGATGCAATACTTGAAAACTTACATAAATTAATAAATTAATTTTCATTTACTCTCTTTCTTTCTTTTTGTTTCATTTGCTCACATTGACAATAATTTTTTATTTTATTAAATTTTTAAATCCTGTCAGTTTTTTCATCAACCATGTTATTTCAGAATCATGTAAAAAAAAAAAAGAGTTAGATGTATTATATTTATAAATGAAAGCTTGTCTAATAAATAAGAATTCAAATAAAAATTTTATTTTATGGATTAATGGAGAATATGAATACAGTGGGTGATCGGTTAATGAACATAATTCATTCCATGACTTTGTTCGCTATCTGAAATGTTCATTAACTGATTATCGATTAACCATAGGTTTTTATGAGAATTTGATTAATTCATTCTGGAGACCCCAAAAAATAAAAAATATATACTTTTTTACTACATTTATTTATATGTAATAGTAAAAATACATATATACACAGTCTTGCATTTTTATTAGTCATGTTTTTTCCATTTGTGGGGGTTAAAGAATCTGTCTAATGTCAATTGATTTTCTCTCTTCAAGATTTTTCAGAAGTAATTAATAGCATTGCAATTGTAGAGTTCCCTAAGCCTATTAACCTCAACCTGGTTTGGATGCCATTCTAAGACTGTCGTTCTGACATCATCCCACTTCTTGAAAAAATGTTTAATAGCAGATATCGACATTAATTCTCTTTTTCAGAAGAAAACGTATCTCGCAGAGTTTCTTGGTGTTCCTTATTCAAGAATTCTTTGCGTTCTTCTGTTATCAGATCTGTTTCAGGTTCCATTATGAGTTCTTCAACGTTCTTTATTTCTCAGATGTGATTTTTGTCACTTCTTTAGCTGCTTGAGTCTTCTTGATAGTACACTATCTTTCTTAGATAAGATTGAACTGCGGCCTACTGTAGACCTGTTTAAGCCATACTACCCAGCAACAACAGACATCAGACATCTTCCCACTTTCCACATTTGCTATTAAACTCTCACTTTTCAAAAATAAAAATCGATGCAATATTTAATGAGTGTTCTCTCGACAGTCTCATGAATACTATAAAAAAATTGTTTCTGTCAGAAAAATAAAAGGCTGGAATTACAAGGGAGAGTTTCAAAATTCAGAGGAATACTATCCGGTCAGTATATATCAGTATATAATTGAGCGTTGATGTCAATGTCTCCTGTGCTCCAAAAAGTTTCAAATTGTTGTCTGAAGACAAGGGAAGACCAATCGGTATTCATTATTTTATGTCGCTTCTTCTTGTGTTTGTTCTATGAGGTGCTCGTTATCCAATCATGTTTTCGTTATCTGAACATAAAAATCTTTCACAAACGTGTTTGTTATCCGATTGTTTATTAACCAATCACTTTTTTTTTTTTTTAATTTATTTACTCTATTGAGAGTTTTGTATCTTTATATGAGCCATTGATTTTGAAAGTGGAGCAAGTCCATTTTGTTATTGCTAGATATTTAATGGTTTGCATTTGAATGAAACAATTTGAATGCTTAAAAATATTCGTAAGCAGTAATAGACTTATTTTGTATTTTTTGTTGTCTTATTTCATGTAAATTTAATATGCAATAATAGTTATCCTGTAACATATTGTGTGATGCAAAAGGCGGGGTTACACAAGTTAGGGTTCAAGTACCAGGCCTGGATTTTATGGGAGCAAAAAATATAACAATCATATACTTATAAATTCACATTAAATATTTATTTAATTGATCAGTAGTGAAATAAATAAACAATGATTAATTATAACAACAATTAGTATATATGTCAAATGAATGTATGTCTCTTTAATCCAACAAATTAAGTTCAGTAGACTATCCTGAAATGCATAAAGCTGTATTAATAGTCTACTGAACTTCATTTGTCAGATTAAGAGACATACAAAATAACAGCTATCATAAGTGATATTTAGAAGTATATTTCAAATATTCAAAAGTCAAACAATCAATTCAAATTTCCACCAAGAAAAAAAAATACTCAAAGTATATGTTTCCTGTGCTGATTGCTTATCAGAGACATTTCTACAATGGTCGCTGTCAGGAACTACATCACACTGCTGGATGGATGTATCGTCTTTTATTTGGTTCTCCATGTAGCTCTGCACTACCCTATTTACATTTATTTGCATTATAGGATCAGTCACCAATGCAAATTAGTATCTTTTGCCTTTCTCTTTTGAATTTTTGCACATTGAGGGTTTAGGAGTTTCTGTCCTTAGAAAAAAAGAGAGACCCCCAAAAAGAAAGTAATAACTGTAACTAAAAATAATGCCCAAAACATAAAATAACGATCGGACTTTGACTCCTTACAATTCGTTTTAGATGAAAAAAATTATGGTTTGGTAAGTGCCAATAGACTTGCCTCACTTTCAAAAGCAATGATTTGTTGAAAATGTTGATTTTCTTTGAATGAAATATAATTAAAATAACAAGAAATTGAATATTTTATTTATTTACTTATTTACTTTATTTCAACATTTCAAAGTTCTTTTGAAAAGCTACAGTAAAACAAAAAATAAATTTAATTTTATAGGAAAAAGTGGAGAACATAAGAAAAAATAATCAATAATAAGTTTTATGCATATAATTATATTTCTTAGTTTAGATCAGTGTTTCTCAACCTCTAACAAATCGTTGCCCCCTTCAATAAAACTGTTACGTAGTGTCGCCCCCTTCACTTCAAAATTCTGATGCCGCGGGCCAAGGCAACGCCAAATTCGTACTGCATTGAATAGACTAGTGACTAGTATAATGTTATTTGTTTAATTGTTGTACGATATAACGAATAAAATATCTAATTGTTCTTAATATAATGTTTTACTATATCACCCAGTAAATTGTTTTTCGCCCCCCAAAATATAAATTGTTACTAATCGCCCCTCAACATGGAAAAACGTCCACATGGGGCGATATCGCCCCTGTTGAGAAACACTGGTTTAGATGGTGCAGATTTTTAAAGTATTCATGATGAATGGATACATAGGGTACATAGATGGTACATAGGGTAATAAATCCATCATATCTTTATATTTTTCTTTAGTAATAGGCCTAGTTTTTTCATTTAGAGATGATGATACTATTTTTTCAAAACTACTTGGCCTACCCCATTTTGGTGATAAATCAAGAGTTTTAAATTGCTAATCTTTTTCCATCAATGTTTTATAAAACAATTTATATGGCACATTTCTTGAAAGTCTTATCCAGAAAACATTCAACCAATTGACAGTTTATCCATCAGTATTATTTGTTCTTTTCAAAATTGCCAGAGGTTTGATTGAATAGAAGTCTTCACTTTTCATTTCATGTACTAAAAATGCACTATATTTGCAACATTTCTTTATTAATTTGTAATAATCCTGGGGAGTATACAGCAAAGTGGACTTGCTTCACTTTCAAAATCAACTCATAATAAATATTGTTGATGATGTAAATTACTAGTAACAAATTTATACTGATATTAAAAGATATTTATTGTGAATTGATTAAAAGCGTTAATTTGTAATAAGAATTAGCTTAGACCAAAAAAATAAAATCTTTTTAACTTAGCACTTTCAAAATTATAAAATTTTAATCCACAATTAACATTTTTGGCCATTTTTAATGGCCTTCATCTGAGAGTTGAGCTAAAAGGTTTTTGTTTGATATATGCTGTATCCAGTTATCTTAAGGTTAGAAAATTTATGTATAGTTCGCCTATAATTTTTTAGAGATGCTTATTTATAATATATATCTATAGCCAAGAAACAACTACACTTTGTTCTTGGCATTCTTTTATAATAGACTTAATTAAGTGAAATGTTTTTATGATTATGAAACAATACAAGTAAATTTTTTTATACGTATAAATACTTCCTCAATTGTTTTTAT